AAAAAAAAAAATTCTAACCCCGTATGCAGCGAATGCATTCATTAATCAAGATGTAGGACTCATTAGACGAATCGTGATATAATATATAATATATAATATATAAATATAATGTACAAGTGCATTTTGGGATCGCCCAAATATTGAACATTGCTTTGTTGGTGAGGCGTGGACAAAACGTTAAAGAAGTCGTCCTATATTCCATGCGCGCCCTGTCTCTGCAGAGGAAGATGCAGGCATCGACAGACAAAACTATACGGCTTGAACTCTGGGGCATTTCGGCTTCGTTGTTGAAGACGAAAGAAGAAAGTACGAGCACCCTGGAAGCTTGATTTGCGGGCCATGAACGCCCTCTTCTTTCTAGCACCCTCTTTTTCCCGCTGAACAAGTTGCAGCAGCGGTGGTCTCGTTTGAAACCCGCGCTGTTGCTGTATCTCTATTACTAGCCCCTTGGTTGTCTCCCCTGCGTCAGCGATGTTCTTTCACTGCCGTTCCGGACAACATCTTCTCTTTTCTGAGCGCCACCCCGATCTGTGTGCACATGAACCCTAACGACAGCCTTTAGCAGCAGGTCTCTGTCTTCTGTTCCCAGGATTGAACAACTCGTGTAGACATCAAGCTTGCATCGACAGGGGTGCCATAAGCTACACCACGCTGCAAGGTGACAGCCGTGAGGTGGGAAAAGGCCCGCAACGAGATCATGCCGCGTTCAGGTCAGGGAAAAATGCAGCCCCTGACTCCGTAGAATACAAAATTTGACGGCAAGCACACCAGCCAAGCATACCTAGCACGGAGAATCGCAGGAGTCGAAGCATGCTACGCGCATCTTGAAGGCTGGCACCGCGTGCTAGACAGCTCTCCCCAGGCAATACTCCCCCGCGCCAAGAGTCTACAAAAGTCTGTCCGAGCGCACTCACCTGGCTGCCGAGCTCGATGTGCAGGCGACGTGGAAGCGTGGTCAGGGGCGAGGTGGAGCTGGACGATACCGTCCTAGTATTTCCGAAATTGCCAATCCTCCGCCTCTTGTTTGTCCTTTTCCCGCAAACGTGTCAAGTTTCCTCCCGGCGCACTTGTGCCTCGCGTTTCCAGAACGGCCCCAAAAACGAACGACGTTTGGAGCCCTACACCCCCTCCTCCCTCTAATCTCAGATCCCCAATATTCACGTATAGGTGTATTTTCAAGCACGAGCCCCCCCTTACTTTTTTATCGTAAACTTTGTCGCAATTTCGGAGGGGAACAGCGTCACAAATCAACCAACGTTCACAATCTTCATCAGATTTTTTTTTCAGAAATTGGAAATCGACTCAACATCCTGGGATCCTGAGAATGGGAGAGCTTCAAACCTCCATCAAACCGACAGTGAATGCAAGTGGTGACCTTCCAGGGGTGTTTCGAGGGTATGCCGGGTCGTTTCATCTTCAAGCTTCAATGGACGACACCTCACACATGCATCCATTGGCCTTCGAAGGCGTGGAACGGGGCAACCTGCAGAAATTATGCAGAAAAATCGTGCGGCCACGCTTCGATTTGATCAGGAAGAAAACGTGTGCGTGCATGATGCTCGCGAAGGATTCTCCCTGCAGATTCGGCGCTGCAAAACAGCATGCAAACCGTCTCATCAGAAAGGTCCTCGGTCTGAGCACGCCACCGTTCGTTCTGTGCGCACAGGTAAGCGTGCAGCAGTCGTTCGGACTATGCAGGACTGACTCTACCGCCACGGGTGCTGCTGTACCATCTAGAAAACGTTCTTCCTCTAGATCCTCCAAGTGTGCTGCGCGATGGATCCATCTCCTCCACGTTATTCCAGAGCCTCGCGTATAGGGCTATGTATGTACACCGCGAGATGTAGTTATCTCGACACGCGTGGGCATACTGAGATACTCTCGGATCTTAGCAGCTTGAAGAGAGTCAGCGGGTGCGGGGTATTGGCGTCCAGCTGAAAATGTACCTAGCGTTTGCTCTGTTGCTCATCGTGCACTCGTTCGGAGGCGAGAAGCGGTGCACAGATTTATGGTTAGCGTAAACCTTGCAACCCTCCCTGTGTACATGACGTCTGATCTGGTTTTGAAATAGCGCGGGAAATCAGTTGAAAATTTTCTAGCGTTTGCTCTGTTGCTCATCGTGCACTCGTTCAGAGGCGAGAAGCGGTGCACAGATTTGTGGTTAGCGTAAACATTGCAACCCTGTGTACATGAGGTCTGATCTGGTTTTGAAATAGCGAGGGAAATCAGTTGCTGCTCTCCCGTTGGTCTCATTGTTATCAACCTTCGATATAAAAAAACACGGCGCCTCCTCGATAAAGATCGTGAAATTCCACTTAGAACTGAGCTTCGGCTGGAGTCGATACTAGCGGTTGATCTCTTCACCAACAACATTTTTTATGGCCCTTCGATCCTCTGTGCATCCGTTGCCATTCTCAACCCTTTCAGATCCAGCAGTGAACCGCAGCACACAGAACCTGAGGCCCTGATGTTCTGCTAGCTCAGGTGCGTCGTGTGGCGTCGGGGCTGATGGGACACACAACCCTGGTTTAATCCGGCGTGTTTTTTGCCCTCTGTGTAAGACAAATAACTCCAGTTTTGTGCTCCCGTGGTGATGAGCGATGTGCATCAAGCTGTTACGACGGATAACTTCGTTTACCTTACAAAAGAGAGACTTCACGTGACGTTTTAACGTTTCGATTTGTCTATGCTCGCCTGGTGTGCTGAAGCGGAAACATGTGAACATTTGGGGAGAGCATGGTTCAGCAAGTTGGAATTTGATTGGTATTCCTTGCCCTCGAGCCACTCCCCGTACGTGCTCTCACTCTTTTGGGAACGTACGGACAATTCGCATCCACCTAGTGGGTCATGATCGATTGCTGTACGGCCTTCCGACTCTTCCTTACTCACTAGACCGAAGCCCGCGGTTGTCAACGTTAGCGATGCGAGCGCTACTCCCGTCGTGCTAACGGAGACTAAACTGTATGGAACGCGAAACAGCGCCCCCTTTCGGAGGTGCTCAGCGTTCGATACTACCAGCGCGAGAGATTGGCTTGTTTTTCTACTCCTCCAAAAGAGGGACACGTGGCGGGTTTTTTCGGTGCACGCATGCATGCTCTTCCTGGTGATGATGATTTTGTCGGGACGTCTGCTGCGGTCTGTTCATGCTCTTTCTGGTGATTGTGATTGAGTCGAGGCCTCCGCGGGGGCGTTCATGCTCTTCCTGGTGATCATGATCGTGTCGAGACGTTCGCGGTGTCCCGTTCATGCTCTTGCTGGTGATTGTGATCGTGTCGAGACGTCCGCGGTGGCCCGTTCATGCTCTTCCTGGCGATGATGATTATGTCGAGACGTCCGCGGGGGCCTGTTCATGCTCTTCCTGGTGATTGTGATCGTGTCGAGACTTCCCCGGTGTCCCGTTCATGCTCGTCCTGGTGGTCATGAAGCGTCCATGTTCTACGTGACACACAAGACTGTCTCTGAACGACGCAGTGATTGCGGCAGGTATAGGCAAACACGTGACGTCTAGCCCGACTGGCTTACGTACGAGATATCGTAGGACACATACCTCCGACCTGATACCAGGAAATCGGGTGAAAAAGTCATAGGGCATACAAAAAGTGGCATTTTGGCTCATGCACTTAACCGAGCTCGCGGTTGTCGATGTTGGAATGGCGTGAGGTTAATACCTGCACTGCTGTGCCGACTAACAATAGTCGGGACGCGTCTCCGTATCAACGAGACTTGTCTCGGATAGTACACAGCGTCCGGAGTGGTGTTTTGTTGCGTGAGTCAGTGTGCCTTGCTGTAGGCGCTAATTCCTTCACTGGTGTGTAGTCGTATGGCCTACAACAAGTTGCATATTGCATCATGCACTTAACCGAGCTCGCGGTTGTCGATGTTGGCACGGCTTGAGGTTAACACCTGCACCGCTGTGCCGACTAACAACCGTCGGAACGCGCCTTTGCGCATCAACGGGACTTGTCTCGGATACTGCACAGCGTCCGTAGAGTGGTGTTTTGTTGCGTGAGTCAGCGTGGCAAAGTTCGCGTGCAAAGCCCTCGGCCTTATGCTTGTTATGCTTTGGGGTAGAATGGACGACCACGCAAACTGCGCCTACGGCTACCCGCAAGGCAAACGATGCCCCGTGGCCGACCCGAACCTCGGGTGTGTTGTCGGCACCACGCTGCCAAACTACCCGGGAAGGCCCCGGTGCTGCGAGGTTGACGATCACCACTACTTCATCGACACCATGCGCGCCATCTTGGCGTACGGCAATAAGCCAGAAATTGTTCAGCAAAATGCAGGAACAGCAGGGGTCCGCCAAGCGCTCGGCGCGTTGCTCGACAGCTTGACCCTCGGTGGCCCCGCGTTGCACACCGTCTTCTACACAAAACTGACAATTATGCCTGAACAACTCCCACCGAGGATTGTCGATGACCTGGTGCAGCTCCTGCAGAAAATGGTGCCGGATTCAGGATTTGGTGTCGACATGACGATTGCTGACATTGCGCGGCAACCACGCGAGTGGCCCGAAAATCCTAGAAATATTTTTAAATCCATGATCGCACCCTTACAAGACCTGCCATCCAACGCGCTCACCCTCGCGGCTACGCTAGAATTATGGCCTCGAAACATTACGGGGTTCAAGGCCGGCAACTCTCAAGCTTGCTTACATCCTGACCACCCGCCACTTCGTCGTCTGAAAGGCTGTCTCGCTTGTCCTCAACGCCCTCGCCAACCCTCGCCAACCCAGACCCCTGGCCGACGTCAAACATTGAACTGCACATGGAACAGGGGTGCACACACGAATCAATCGACGCCATATTGCAGAATTGCGCGCGGCTATGTTATCAACAAGATTTGTAGGCACGCTTTACCTACATGGTCTGCCCAGCCCGTTCGAACAAAACGTGGAGCTGGAGCAGTTTGAGGTTGCACCGGGAAAAGATCTACAGATTGGTGCCCATGATTTGGAAATAAGAATAGTTTGATCACTATTCGTCCAGTTCGTCTCCACTCCACACTTTCTCTTCTTGGACACGACGGAATCGGTCGTAAGCCTCGTCGTTTTTTTCTTTCGTGGTTCTCTTCCTCTTGAGCTTCGTCAAACTCGCAATCTCCTTCCTGAAATGCTTCTCATTCTTTTCGTTAAACGCTATAGATATGGTAGCGCGCTCCAACTTCTGTGTTAATTCCTCGTTTTCCTGCTTCAAAATCGGATTTTCTTTACACAACTTCCTGTACTTCTCCTCTTGGTGTTCGCGTTGCTGCTCGACAAGGGATGCCATCTCCATTTCTTCCAATAGTTGCTGTTTCAGAAAAGAATTCTCCTCCTCCAGGGACTTGTTTTTTTGACGAAGTTCGCGTGCTTCATCGGAAGCAAGGATCGCTTGCCGTGTTTCCTCCGCCTGAGCTTTGTCGAGGATCTTTTCCAAGAAGAAGTCCTTGGCAGAGTCTAGCGTCAGAACGTGATAAGTCACGACGGGCTCGTCCTTGTTCGATGCATGAGAGATCGCGGCGAAGATCATCTCTAGGAACTCTCCCTTCTCAGGTTTGTCCAGAAGACTTTCCCTCAGCTTGTCGATCGTAACCTTTTTAGCCTTAGCCTCAGCCGCAGCCGCAGCCTTAGCCTCAACCTCAGCCTCATCGTCTTCCTTCTCAGCGTTGTCCAGAAAACCTTCTTTCAGCTTGTCGATCACCTCATCGTAGGTCACGTGGTTGCACCCGATCGACGGATGGGGAAGTACACCGGTCGCTGGGAACAGTTCTCTTCGCGCAGGCGGTTTCAACTCCTTTTTTTTGAAGCATGGAGAGCATTTCATGGCGATGTCGTCCAAATGTTTGTGGATGATCTCACGCGCTTTTTCCATATCGTCAGGTGTTACATTCGCCGCGTACCCGAGGTCGGTCAGACGGTGTTTGTCCTTCACGAGGCATTCCATGATGTTGAAGAATATGAGAACGAACTCCGCATTAAACTCGAGATCGAAAGCTGGCGTCGTGTTGCTCTCCTGCCTAATCATGACCTTGTCCAAGAGCTTCCCAATCCTGTCATTGTACATGGAGAAGCTAATGATCTTCTCCATGACATTCCGATCATAGTCATATAGGCCTTGGAAGCGTTCGCAAACCTCCTGGGCGAATTTGTTGTTGTCATGATCGTTTGCAAGTGAAACTGCGACCCACAGGGCGATGTTGACTTTGCGAATAGGAGTATCACGATCGACGAACCCCAGCTTCAAGTACTCCTGTGAAGCTTTGATCAAATCGGTGTTATCTTTTCCGGTAACCGTGTGAGGGAGGTGTTGCATCACTTCTTCATACGACGAGTCATGCTTGCGATTTTCTTTGCATGCTAGGATGGCGTTGGAACAGAGTGTGATCCTTTCAAACAGCGGCGACGATTGGTTGTTCATGGCTGCAGCGGTATGAATTGTGACCTGCTTTGTATGAGTTGAAATATTATTTTGGACATTTTGGCCGCAGGATGACATCTTGATCGATTTGATTTTGGAAATTTGAGGATCGGACGAGTGCTTCGCCCTCGTCCTCTCATACACAAACAATTAGTTTGAGCTGATATTCAAGACTCATTTACAGGTAGCATCGACCTTGTGCACAGTACAACACGAATGTTTACCAGCATGGTTGTCGGAACGCTGATATCGGAAAATCGAGATGCCGAAACCAGCCTCAGGATGACACCTTGATCGATCCGATTTTCGAAAATTCAAGATGACTCGAGCTTCGCGGCCTCGGCCTCGGNCGAAACCAGCCTCAGGATGACACCTTGATCGATCCGATTTTCGAAAATTCAAGATGACTCGAGCTTCGCGGCCTCGGCCTCGGACGAGTTCCGGCGTGCTCGTCCTCATCGTCTCAACAAAAAAACACTTGCTTTGAGAAAAGGGGTACATACAGCTTACATGTGGAGACAACCTTGTGCTCAGTACAACACAATTATTTACCGGTAAGTTGTCCGAACGCTGATATCGGGAAATGGAGATGCCGAAACCAGCCTCAGGAAGACGTCTTGCTCGATTCGATTTTGGAAAATTTAAGATGACTCGAGCTTCGCGGCCTCGGCGTCGGACGAGTTCCGGCGTGCTCGTCCTCTTCCCAAACAAAATGATTGTTTTGTACATGGATCACCGATTCCCTCACAGGTGGCAACACCCTTCTGCTCACAACCAAGATATTAATTAGTATAATTGTCCGAGCGCTGATATCGGAAAATCGAGATGCCGAAACCAACCTCAGAAAAACGTCTTGCTCGATTCGATTTCGGAAACTTGAACATGACTCGAGCTTCGCGGCTTCGGCGTCGGACAAGTTCTGACGTCATCGTCCTCATCCTCTCAACGAAAAAAAACACGTGCATTGTGCAAGAAGTACATACATACTTACAGGTAGAAACGACCTTGTGCTCAGTACAAGACAACTATTCACCAGTATAGTTGTCCGAGCGCTGATATCGGGAAATCGAGATGCCGAAACCAGCCTTAGCATTACATCTTGGTCGATTCCATTTTCGAAAATCCACGATGACTCGAGCTTCGCGGCCTCGGCCTCGGACGAGTTCCGGCGTCATCGTCCTTATCCTTTCAACAAAAAAGAACACTCGTGGTGTGCAAGGAGTACACCTGCTTGCAGGTGGAGACGACCTTGTGCTGAGTACAACACAAAACACTAGTTTCGCCTGATTGAGAGCGAAGTATCGAATTGAGAGCGAGCTTGCGAATACAATCACCCTCTTCCGGTATCTTTGAGTTTCTGTGGGTGAGTTAGTTTGCGCCACAAATTGACCAAAAATTGAACTCGAAAGATTGCCACGTGTTTGGCGATTTTGAGAGGATTCGTTGGTGAAACTGTTTGGGGTGATAATTGTCCAGAAATCGCGAAACCGAAGCAACAGCAGTTGATTGTCGGGAAGCCGCCGACAGACTCTACGGTAGATGCAAGTTGTTATATAGCACTGTTTTCGTCTCTTTCGTGAAATTTTACGAGGTAGGCACTGTATAACAGTGCCCTTCTAAGACTGATCACCAACGTTCGACCTCCGTGGCCGATTGAAGGCTGCTGTAATCCGAACGTTCGGCGGGGGCAAGGCACGGACAAGAGCTACGAGCTGGGGGGAAGGGGAATCTGGAAGGAGAGCCAACGCCTGCTGCTCTTCGCCTGACTGCTCTTCGCCTGATCCCGCGATACCGCCCCCCTGCGCTACCATGCTATCATCCTCGTCTCCCTTGGCTTCCTCCTCGTCCCCCTCTTCCTCTTCCTCGTCTTTCTCTCTCATCTCCTCTTCCGGGGAGGACGCTGTGCTCTCTGCAACCGACGCCCAGACGTGGGTGGGCAACTTCCCCTGCTTTGTGAGCTTTGCGAACTTCGAGCTAACGGCGTTCTCCGTACCAACAGACGGCACCCTCTTTCCGTGGACGACCAAAAACTCCTCAACCCATCTTCCCTTCCCGTACTTCGACCGGGAATCGCCGGCGCGTACTGTAGCTGGCATGTACCAGTGCAACTCTAGTTCATTGCCTCCATCCCCCTTCGTGACAGCCAGAACTTTACGAACGGAAACAGACTCCTTCATTGCCCGGAGGTGTTGGTAGGGCTACAAACTCTCCAGCCTCTACATTGAAAACTGGTACATCGACAACAATAACAACCTAACTAACCCGATTCACCAGTATAGTTGTCCGAACGCCGATGTCGAGAAATCGAGATGCCGAAACCAGCCTTAGCATTACATCTTGGTCGATTCCATTTTCGAAAATCCACGATGACTCGAGCTTCGCGGCCTCGGCCTCGGACGAGTTCCGGCGTCATCGTCCTCATCCTTTCAACAAAAAAGAACACTCGTGGTGTGCAAGGAGTACATACATGCTTACAGGTAGAAACGACCTTGTGCTCGGTACAACACATATATTAACCAGTATAGTTGTCCGAACGCCGATATCGGGAAATCGAGATGCCGAACCCAGCCTCAGGATGACATCTTGCTCGATCCGATTTTGGAAAATCCAACATGACTCAAGCTTCGCGGCCTCAGCCTCGGACGAGTTCCGGCGTCATCGTCCTCATCCCCTCAACAAAAAAAACACTCGTGTCGTGCACGGCGTACATACATGCTTACAGGTAGAAACGACCTTGTGCTCATACAACACAACTATTCACCAGTGTAGTTGTCCAAACGCTGAACTCTGGAAATCGAGAGGCCGAAACCAGCCTCAGGATGACATCTTGCTAAATCCGATTTTGGACATTCCAAGATGGCTCGAACTTCGCGGCCTCGGCCTCGGACGAGTTCCGGCGTCATTTCCACAAAAGAAAGCACTCGTGGTGTGCAAGGAGTACATATATGCTTACAGGTGGACACGACCTTGTGCTCAGAACAACACAAATATTTACCAGTATAGTTGTCCGAACACTGATTTCGGGAAATCGAGACGCCGAAACTAGCCTCAGGATGACATCTTGCTAGATCCGATTGGGAAAATCCAAGCTGACTTGAGCTTTGGGGCCTCGGCCTCGGACGAGTTCCGGCGTCATCTCCAGAAAAGAAGACACTCGTGTTGTGCAAGGATTACATACATGCTTACAGGTAGAAACGACCTTAAGCTCGGTACAACACAAATATTTACCAGTTAGTTGTCCGAACGCTGAAATCTGGAAATCGGGAGGCCGAAACCAGCCTCAGGATGACATCTTGCTCTATTCGAGTTTGGAAATCCAACATGACTCGAGCTTCGCGGCCTCGGCCTTGGACGAGTTCCGGCGTCATCTCCAGAAAAGAAGACACTCGTGTTGTGCAAGGATTACGTACATGCTTACCGGTAGAAACGACCTTGTGCTCGGTACAACACGAATATTTACCAGTATAGTTGTCCGAACGCTGATTTCGGGAAATCGAGAGGCCGAAACCAGCCTTAGGATGACATCTTGCTCTATTCGATTTCAGAAAATCCAAGATGACTCGAGCTTCGCGGCCTCGGCCACGAACGAGTTGCGCCGTCATCGTCCTCACCCCCTCAACAGAAGAAAGCACTCGTGTTGTGCAAGTGTTACAGACATGCTTACAGGTTTAACTGCCCTTGTGCTCAGTACAACACAAATAGTTACCAGTATAGTTGTCCGAACGCTGAAATCGGGAAATGGAGATCCCGAAGCCAGCCTCAGGATGAAATCTTGCTCGATTCGAGTTTGGAAAATCCAACATGACTCGAGCTTCGCGGCCTCGGCGTCGGACGAGTTCCGGCGTCATCTCCAGAAAAGAAGACTCTCGTGTTGTGCAAAAATAACATTCATACTTACAGGTAGAAACGACCTTGTGCTCAGTACAACACAAGTATTGACCAGTATAGTTGTCCGAACGCTGAAATCTGGAAATCGAGATGCCGAAGCCAGCCTCAGGATGACATCTTGCTCTATTCGATTTTGGAAAAACCAAGATGACTCGAGCTCGCGGTTTCGGCCTCGGACGAATTCCGGCGTCATCGTCCTCACCCTCTCAACAAAAGAAGACACTCGTGGTGTGCACCGAGTACATACATGCTTACAGGTAGAAACGTCCTTGCGCTCAGTACAACACAGATAGTCACCAGTATAGGTGTCCAAACGCTGATATCGGGAAATCGAGATGCGGAAACCAGCCTCAGGATAACATCTTGCTCCATTCGATTCTGGAAAATCCAACATGACTCTAGCTTCGCGGCCTCGGCCTCTGACGAGTTCCGGCGTCATCGTCCTCATCCTCTCAACAACAAAAAAACATGTTGAGCAAGGAGTGCATACATGCTTACAGGTGGAAACGTCCTCGTGCTCAGTACAACACAAATATTTACCAGTATAGTTGTCCAAACGCTAAAATCTGGAAATCGGGAGTGCGAAACCAGCCTCAGGATGACATCTTGCTCGATCCGATTTTGGAAAATCCAACATGACTCGAGCTTTGCGGCCTCGGCCTCGGACGAGTTCCGTGGGCTTCTCCACAAAACAAGACACCCGTGTTGTGCAAGGATTACGATACAGCCTACAGGTAGAAACGACCTTGTGCTCGGTACAACACAAGTATTCACCAGTACAGTTGTCCAAACGCTGAAATCTGGAAATCGAGAGGCCGAAACCAGCCTCAGGATGACATCTTGCTCCATACGATTTTGGAAAATCCAACATGACTCACGCTTCGCGGCCTCGGCCTTGGACGAGTTCCGGCGTCATCTCCACAAAACAAGACACTCGTGGTGCGCGAGGATTACATACATGCTTACAGGTAGAAACGACCTTGTGCTCGGTACAACACAATTATTCACCAGTACAGTTGTCCGAACGCTGAAATCTGGAAATCGAGAGGCCGAAACCAGCCTCAGGATGACATCTTGCTCGATCCGATTTAGGAAAATCTAAGATGACTCGA